TGATGTTATAGTTTTGTTTCGATAATTAATACCAAGTTCTACACCAGCATCTTTTAGAATATGAGATGGAGCAGTATGGTTTGAATCGATTTTGGTAAAAGTTTTATTATAATATCTTTGTATATATATTGGTTTTAATTAATTATTAACTATTTTTCTTTAGATTGATCATGATGTTTGTTCAAATTATGGAAATTGGGTGTATGTAGCTGGTGTTGGAAATGATCCAAGAGAAAATCGACATTTTAATATGATTAAACAAGCATTTGATTATGATTCTAATGTAAAATATCTATGAATGAATTTAGAAAAAAATGAAAAACTATTATTATAGGGTACATTTGTACGTACATGGTGTCCTGAATTAGCTCGTTTATCAAATGAATATATTCAAACTCCATGGTTAGCTCCATCTCATATTCTAAAAGATGCTGGTGTAGAACTTGGTATTAATTATCCTCGATCCATTCTTATTATATCACAATGGAATCAACAAGTAAATATTGTTCTTTGTATAATTTTATTCTTAATATATGTTTTTTAGTCTCAAAATCGTCGAACATTATTGCAAAATCAAAATCATACAAAACAACGTGGTATCGATTTTTATTTTAAAAATAATCAAAAACGACATTAAAAAATAATTGATTACTTTGTTAACTTCTATCTATTTATTGGTTTATTTGTTTCATTTTATCTTAAATATTTGAAAGAGAATTAATAAGAAGTATTTCATATTTATTATTCAAGATGAATCAATTGATATAAATGTAAACATTTAAAATAAGTGACAATCGATTGTTAATCGATGTGAATATCGATCAAATTCATATAGAAAATATCTGACTACTAAAATAGGAAGAATCGAGATCGATAACAGGTCCATCTCATAACTTCAAAAAAAAAGAAGCCAATGATCGATTAAGACTGTTCTTTTTGGTCATTGGTTGGGTGTGAGTGTAGATCTTCCCTTTAGTGACCAAGGTAAGAAACAGATGTCATATGCATTTCATCGACAAATTTCACTTTTGACAAACATTATTATTAGCCCATTGGGAACCGTGGGCTTCTATATATGGATTTGAAGATTACAGTAGAATAAGAAGTTTTTGAATTTGTTAAAGTCTTTGAGCGTTTTATTATTTTTTTCTATCTCAAAGCACTCATTGTGCCGTTGCAGTAAGGACAAGTATTATAATTATGATAGTCAATAATTTTCAGGTTATAAGTAATTTTGATGTTATAGTTTTGTTTCGATAATTAAAAAAAGAGTCGTTCCT